TGCGTGCGTGCGTGCGTGCGTGCGTGCGTGCGTGCGTGCGTGCGTGCGTGTGTGTGTGCGTGTTATTCAAAGGGTACATTCACAACCATGTTTATGATACCGTCAATGACATCAAGAGTCCATAATAGAGACGACATATAACTTACCTGTTGCATATAATTTAAAAAATCTAAGATTTCAGAAGAGATATAAGAAAATGAATTATATATAATGATAAGTTTAGTGATGTTTCACTTTCACTTCACTTTAGCACCTTCACTTTAAAGCATCTTGAAGCACTTCGTGGTGAAAGCACTTCACTTTAGCACCTTCACTTTAAAGCACCTTGAAGCACTTCATGGTGAAAGCACTTTAAAGCACTTCATAAAAGCACCTTCACTTTAGTGCTGCAGCAGTTTCTTCAACACTTGCGATTGTTGTTTTTTAATCATGCATGGCCATCTGTTTTTGATTGCAGCGTGGATTATTTTGTGATTGAACACGAAGACATGGGTGACATTTACAATTTAAGTGTAAAGCATGACAATAAGCACTTGGCATCTAGTTGGCTGCTCGAAAAGGTACTGATGTTGACCCTGATTACTGACACTCTACTAATGTACTTGGGGGTCATTGTTAGAAATATCGTAGCTCTATGTTATAGATTACTACTGGTATATAATACATGGAAATGGTTTCAACTAAGACTAGTGTTATGACTAAAATGTTTATGGCAACGGTCCCCTGTATATGATGATGCTTGAATGCCACTAAATTTTTCTCACAAATAATGGTGCTAAGTGCTTGAAATGGTAATTAAGACAAAATCTTATAATATAGTAAGGTGTAATATAAAATTGAGTAATTTAATCATATTTGAAATACGTTCAAATCTTTAAAATTCAATATCGTGTGATAATTACTAACCAGTAATGTAGTTGTCGCCTATGTATCCAGTATACATGTTCATGTCCATGTTTATAATGATGGGCTCTCGACGGTAAATTTTCGCTTTAATCCTAGCAAGAATTAATTAATTTTGCTAAAAAAAACTTGCAGGTAGTTGTGGTTGCAAAGTACAAAGAGTTCTCGTGTCCTTGTATGCGGTGGCTAGACACAAGCGAAGATGATGGCTCGATAGAGAGGACGTTTCCTTGCTACCTGATAGCGGATAATACACCGCCAGGTATGATCACGGCATACACATAACAAAACGTGTGTGAATAAAATATTTTATGGATGTTGCGGTAACTTTTGTCAGCAAACCCTTTCTAGTTAAAAATTATGTCGATCGGATGTCGATGTGGATTGTCTATTAGAATGTTCTCTCACGACACTGATTGGCTAGAGAATTGTCTGTTAATCAAACGAGGCTGATTGGTCGATTAAAAATGTGATAGACTATCGATTAGGTGGATGCAATCATTGACTATTGAATGTATTAATGGTATTAAGGAGCATCACGAAGAACACTTGCAGGGTCCGTATGGGCAGTAAAACCTGGACAGTCTTGGAAACTGCTTGGAAACACGTTATTATTGTTTGGTCCACAAGTCCTTGCAATTTCACAGCTATCTTATCTGAGTATAAACTTGCTTCGTGCAAGAACTACTGCATTTAGGATGGACTACTCACTCCACTACAACTATTCTACAACTTTTATCAGGATGGATGAAAACGTGTTGGGTGGGGCTGGGTCTTAGTTCCGCGAAAAATTGGATTAGATCGTAATTGAGCCATCTCTGGTGGTTTGGCTTGTGTTGTAATTGGACTTGTTCTCAGGCGTGAGTCTCTCGTTGCAGAGCCTCCAAAAGTTACTGACATCCACTTCAATGTGCTGCTGTTCTCAGCACAGTGTCTGTATTGGGACGCTGCCAGCGACAAGTGGACCGATGACGGCTGCGAGGTATGTGCACGAGAGAACTGCTCACAGTTATAGTAGCATCCGCCCAAACAGATGTCCCCACGTACCACATCTGTTTAGATATATATGCATATATTTATATACACATACGTACGCACGCATGTATTTCTGCTCAAATAATTGGCAAGCACCATATTTGCCCCATCTTACATGTAATTTTATTATTGTTGATTAAAATAATAATAATAATAATGAGATTATTATTTAGGCATTGGTCTCTCTGTCGTTGTGTGTATCTGCTGCATAGGTGGGGCCACTGACGACGGCGACGGAGATTCACTGTCTTTGCACACATCTCTCGTCGTTCGCCGGAAGCTTCTTTGTGCAGCCAAACGCCGTCGACCTTATCGAGGACATTATCCTGTTCGCAACGTTCTTTGACAACCCGGTGACTGTTGCCATGACGATCGCAATATGGCTGCTGTACGTGGGCTTGTTTGTCTACGCGAGGAACAAGGACAGACAGGACTTGACAAGGGTAAGTTCTGACGAGATACGAGTGGGGTATTGATCGAGTATGATAAAGATGTGAGTTACGCCTCTGTTTACCCGTGGTTAGAGTTGGCTTGTAGTTTATTGTTATTTCTCGTTAGTATATTTCGTTATTGTTTACATATACTTAATATGTGTATGTATATATATATTATTGTTTTTATGATTATATTATATTTATTAAATATTGTTTATAATCGTTATATATTAGTTCAGTTAGGTACTCTATATAATTATAGGTGGTAAGGTTGTTCCTACAGATGCATTCCTTATTCCCTCCAAGCAGATGCCTGGGGACATGATGTGGGGATTGTAGGTAAACACGCTTCTCGCTTCTGTTTTTCTAGTTAGGCGTGACTGTGTTAGAAGACAATGACCCTACGCACGACTACGGCTATCTGGTGACAGTCTACACAGGCCTGCGGAGACGCGCTGGGACCACCGCTACGGTGGGAATCATATTGGAAGGTGAGTGAGCATGACAGACACCAAAACTATTGTCAGTGTTGGGCTAAGCAGGCGTGTCAGCGTTCCTGTGTATTACACCGTATCGTTTAGTGCGTAGATGTGACTGATATATCATATATGTTCCTGTGTATTACACTGTATCGTTTAGTGCGTAGATGTGACTGATATATCATATATGTTCCTGTGTATTACACCGTATCGTTTAGTGCGTAGATGCGACTGATATATCATATATGTTCCTGTGTATTACACCGTATCGTTTAGTGCGTAGATGCGACTGATATATCATATATGTTCCTGTGTATTACACCGTATTGTTTAGTATGTAGATGCGACTGATATATCATATATGTTCCTGTGTATTACACCGTATCGTTTAGTGTGTAGATGCGACTGATATATTATATATGTTCCTGTGTATTACACCGTATCGTATGTTGTCTGGCACGTAGGTGTGAAGGAAGCGAGTGACGCGCACGTGTTACGCGACCCGCACAGACAGGTGATGGAGACCGGCGGTGAAGACTGGTTCCTGCTGACCGCCGACAGGTCACTCGGTGACCTCACGGCCGTCCGACTGTGGCACGACAACACGGGCGTGAGTCCGTCATGGTGAGTCACCCAAGGTTTCAATTTGGGAAAAAACTCTTTATCCGCTTGATTCAGAGTTCTTGTTCTTTTCCTACGGTTAGTGATGGCACGGACATGTGTCTATGATCATATCTATACTCTGTAGTTTATGCTCGTTTGCTTAGTAACATATCTGTAGTATAGTTATGTTTATGGTAATAGTGCCTTTGTGGTAGTATATACGTAGTGTTAGATGTAGTATCAGCAACAGCAGCAGCACAGCACTATGAGAACATATGCCGATATGAATATTACTAAGAACATATCAGACTATATGGCCCTGAATATGAACATAGGACTTTAGAATAAGAACGTTAGACAGTAATTAATTTGTAGCACACAAAGGGTAAGGACCAACAGGTAGTAAAAAACCTACTCTGGTTGGGCTCTATGTTCACATTTAATGAGAGCATAGTAAAATATGAGAACACATGAGAATATGAACAGATGAACGGGAACATGAATATGAACTTGAGTGTACGTACGTTCATGGCATATAAGTTTGTGGTTGGTAGGTACGTCAGTCAGGTGGTTGTCAGAGACGTGCAGACAAGCCAGGTGTGGTTTTTCCTCTACAACGACTGGCTGGCGGTCAGCATCGGTCCCATGGTCATCAAATGCCGCCTACTCCTTGCGACGGAGGAAGACCTCAAGGTTTGTGCCTAATCTCAATGGTCAATTTCAGTGGCCATGTTACAAATGACTAAAATAAATAAACAAGTAAATTATAAAAAAATAAATATTTAAATAAATAAAATTAATTAATAAAAATGAACTAATACATGTAATAAATGAATAATAACTAAAAATATATAAATGAGTAACGAGATCGAATAATCTGCTTTCAGACATTATATTATCACAGGTTCGTATTCCTTGGAATGTAACTTATTATAACAGAATCTTATAGTCTTTTGCAAGACTGCTTTTGCAACATGCAGTGAGAAGTTGCTGGTTAATTGATCTATTTATGTAAGCGAGATCACCACACTCCCATTGGATACTGTTGCTAGGTCAGTCCAGTCAGGTCAATGTGTACATATTTTTCGTGCGTGCACGCGAAATTGTTCTCTTTGTGGCACTTTTGTTGCTAAGTGGCATTTTTGGAATCATTCAATTTTTTCAATCATTGCAGGCATATGTCGATTTCAATTTTCCAATCGTTGCTTTTCATTCACGAATTGGGCATCGATAGAAACACTTAAGCGTACACCACAACATTCGCTGCACTTGTTGCGTCACAGCACAACATCTGGCGTATGATAACGATGGGCCCATTAATTAATTATCCTTCATTATATCAGGAGTCTATCAATAGACTCCTGATTATATAACACACGATATCACCTTCCTTCTTGCTTAAGCTTAAACTGGGCGCTTTTGAAATTATGTATTCACTGCACACATTGCATCACCAAGCAACGTTTAATTCTGCCCGCAAGTGTTTTGGCATCTGAGTGAATACATCGTGCTCTCTCTGGATATCATTGCTAGCTCGGTCAAGCTAGTCCAGTTTGTACGTACGTGTTTCTACAAGTCGAACACTTCATTCCACCCTCAGCTATTTCGAGGTCTTGTAGTGAGAAGTAATTCGACGCAACTCGCAGAAATAACGCGCGTTGTTCCACGACGCAACGCGCAGAAATAACGCGCGTTGTTCCACGACGCAAATCGCAGAAATAACGCGCGTTGTTCCACGACGCAACGCGCAGAAATAACGCGTGTTGTTCCACGATGTAACACGCAGAAATAACGCGCGTTGTTCCACGACGCAACGCACAGAAATAACGCGCGTTGTTCCACGACGCAACGTGCAGAAATAACGCGCATTGTTCCATGACGCAACGCGCAGAAATAATGCACGTTGTTCCATGACGCAATGCGCAGAAATAACGCGTGTTGTTCCATGATGCAATGCGTGCAGTTAATACAATCAAATGTTGTGGATGTTTGGAACAATGCGCGTTATTTCTGCGCGTTGCGTCATGGAACAACGTGTTATTTCTGCGTATTGTGTCATGGAACAGCACGCGTTATTTCTGCGCGCGGGTGTTCCGGCATCTGTTCGTGATCCGCGCGCGCCGCAACATCTGAGGCATTTGATCATATTAACTGCATGCGTTGCATCATGGAACAACACACGTTATTTTTGCACATTGCATCAAGGAACTACGTGTTATTTCTGCGCATTGCATCATGGAGCAGCACGCGTTATTTCTGCGCGTTGCGTCATGGAACAACGTGTTATTTCTGCGTATTGTGTCATGGAACAGCACGCGTTATTTCTGCGCGCGGGTGTCCAGGCATCTGTTCGTGATTTGCGCGCGCCGTGACATTCGAGGCATTTGATCATATTAACTGCATGCGTTGCATCATGGAGCAACGCGTGATTTCTGCACATTG